TGTTAATCAACTCCTCATGCCAACACCCGTGGGTAAAGGAAAGCACCTCCCCCCCCCCCCCCCCCCCACCCCCCCCCCCCCCCCCCGCCCGGATGCCTCTCACCTGGGCCGTCTCTTCCTCTTGCTTCCTCTTCTCTTCCTCAGTCTCTACCAGCCTCTGTTTGGTCAGGAGGAGCTCCTTATTCAGCACATCTGCCTTGTCTTCTGCCTGCACGTCGGAGCACACGGCAATCATAAGGAAGGCGAAGAAAGAACGTGTGTGGATACTCTCTCCAAACCTAATCTCTAGTTATGATGGTTGCCTCACGACCAAAAGCCACGTTCCCCCTCCTAGCTCACCCAGGGGACGGCTGCTTTCATGGAAGGCCAACTTCCTAGCAGGCACGTGGCACACATCATCTCTGATCCTCACAACAACGATTTTACTGACAATGGCAGTGAAGTCTGGAGAGATCGAACAACCCGACTGGGGCAGACATGGAATAGGAGAGACATGAGCTGAGTTCAGACGTGAATGGCATCAAAGCGCATGCTCTTTTCTAAATGCTTTTTACACATTTTCAGTCACCCTGAGACTGTGTAGATGGCTAGGATGAAGGGGTGGAGCCGTATACAGAAGCTTCTAGCTGTTAGTGCCCGGGGGTGGGGGGTGCGGATTCAGAGAGAGACAGGCTGATCCGTGGTCAACAGTAGGTGAGAAAATCCAAAGACCAGCAGAGGTAAAATGGCTCACGAAGGGACGCACACAGGACCGTGAGTACAGCAAGGAGAAATTAAGACCCAAAACCCATGACAGAGATGGCCCTCGGGAAAACTGATTGATGGACCAGGCACCCGATCAGAAAAGGCCGCGTTTCTGGAATGACTGAGCAGAGCTCAGAGCGAATACTTTGCTCTTAACGTGGATACAGAGTCCAATTAACCAGGAAAGCACCGTGCGTTTATTTAACTAGTCAACACATGCCTACTGCACACCCTAGACCCTTACCTCTCCCTGTAGGTCTCAGCGTCAAGTTCACATCTGCAGTGGAGTGAGCCCTGAGCTCTGTCCTACTCACTCTGACCTAAATCAGCTCCTCACCTCCATCTAAATGAGTTCCTCTGCCTACATCTCTCCTATTTCCCTCAAGAGCACTGAGCACAATCTCTACTGACAAATCACACGTGGGGGTTTCTCTGTCTTGCCCATTAGACTTGCTCATCCCCATCTCCCCAGCACCAAGGCCAGCACCAGGTGGGGCGGGGACTCCCCAGGTACTTGGTGAATGAATGGAGGTGACTCTCCAATCACTGCCCAGGGGGCACTGTGTGGGGTGGAGGTGGCACCGGGCCACAGGATGAGCTCAGCAGAGAAAACCACAGACACAGAGGACAGACAGCTATTCGAAGAAGCTATCCTTGGCCAACAACCGCGAAACATTATCCAAAGAATCGTAAAACTGGCCAGGTGGCCATGCATGTGTTTTGCCCCATCTCCCACGTGTCCCCAGGGCTGGGCCAGCACAGTCTGCCGGGGCCTGGCAGAGAAGAGGCACTCCAGCCTCTCTGTCCGGGCTCATAGTCCCCAGTGTCCCACAGTCTGATGGTCACAGCTCTGTTTTCAGATAATTTGCAACTATGGTGTAGTGAAGGTAAAAAAGTCCCTCTTAAAAAAGAATCTAAAATTTACTCTGATAGATTTTAAGGGGGAAAACTACACAGCAAAAGTATATCCTGAAACTAGAGGTGGGCAAGATATCCGTGCAAGTTATGTTTTCATAAACTGTATATGATATCTGGTGCAGATTACAGACACTCGAAACAGCCAATTTGAGAGCCAGTCAGATGACTGCAGTCAGAGCAGGGAGCAACTCCCCAGACTCTCTGAGGGAGGGTCAGAGAGCAGAGAATCAAGAACAGCAACACTGATCACTTCACTGTTCTTAAAAATCGAACCAAATCTAGGTCCCCACAACTTCAGCCCACAGGTTCACGTTCTACCTCAGACTATGTAAGTAACAGCCCTCCTGATAAAGAAGAGTGCAATTTAACGTCCTCTTCAGTAGCCCCCGCATTTTCCAGTTTGTGAAGAGAAGAGTCCTTCCTCTTCAAGACACTCTGAAGTGAATGTTTTCTAAGTCTGGCTTCTTAAAGAGATTCACCCCAAATTTTTAGCCTTTTGTAAATTTCTGCTATCGGGACATTTAAGTTTCTTAAATTGTGCATCACACCTAGACATTCTATTTTATAGTTTTGGAACACTAAAGAAGTGTTTCCGACATCTGCAGAAATTGCTGGGGGTCCCATGTGGGAGGAGCGTCAGAATTTTCCAGAAGCTTCCTCCAGAGTCTCTCCTCTATGTTAAACAGTGAAGTCAGAATGATTCTACAGCTCATCAAGACAGGATCACATCTGAAAAAACTTGGTTCTCCTAGAAACAGTCTTCTGGGTCTTTGGACAACCAATTTCTAGGCCTCACTTAATTAGAAATCATCTTTCATGTTAAATGAATCTCTAGGGATGTAATACTGAACAGATAGATACTCATATTCTTTGAATTCAAACTATAAAATCTTCACCATAATTTGTTAATAAGATCACTGTCATTATTAATTCTAATCACTTACTAACATCCTTTTTTAAGATTTATTCATTTATTTGAGAGAGACAGAGAGAGAGCAGGGGGAGGGGCAGAGGGAGAAAGAGAATCTGATGCAGACTCCCCACTGAGCATGGAGCCCAATGTGGGGCTCAGTCTCAAGACCCTGACATCATGACCTGAGCCAAAATCAAGAGTCGGCCGCCCAACGGATGGAGCCACCCAGGCGTCTCAGCACTTACCAACATCTTATAATGTCTTATTTTGTTTTTTAAAAGATTTTATTTATTTGACAGGGAGAGCAAGAGAGACAGCATAAGCAGGCAGAATGGCAGGCAGAGGGAGAAGCAGACTCCCTGACAAGCAGAGAGTCCCATGTGGGACTCGATCCCAGGACCCCAGGATCAAGACCCAAGCCAAAGACAGATGCTTAACCAACTGAGCCATCCAGGCCCTCCCTTAAATGCCTTATCGATGTGGAGACTTCTAAGTGCTACCTAAGGTTCATACGACATACACAGGAGAGGAAAAAGCACTGCCATTTGTGATTTAATCATCAATTAACGGATAACCTGATCGAAAGGCTCAGCACTCACATCAGGGATGAGGCTCTCTCAGAAATGATTTCCCAAAGAACTAGCAAGCCAGGGGCGCCTGGGTGGCTCAGATGGCTGAGCGTGTGGCTGCGTTTGGCTCAGGTCCTGACCCCAGGGTCCTGGGATCCAGCCCCGCATCGAGCTCCCAGCTTGGTGCAGAGCCTGCTTCTTCCTCTGTGATTGCCTCTGTGCCCTCTGGCTCTAACCCTCTTGTCAAATAAATAAATAAAATCTCAAAAAAAAAAAAAAAAACACACACCAAAAAACTGGTCAAGCCAGTTGTTCAATTTAAAACAAAACAAAGACTTTACCACTCATCACACGGAGCCCCTGCTCTAACACAGAACTTGCTCTGGTTGGAAGGACGAGGAGCCGTGTCTCTCCTGTTCGTTCCTTGGGAACAAGAAAGGACAGGAAGGGCTGAAGGCACCTCACTACAGAAACTGAAATGGACATGTTGTATCTTTTTACATTGTTAATCAAGGGGAGAAGTCCTTATTCTCAGAGTCTGAAGGAGGGCAAGTTGTCAAAACAGAAGGCTGTTTCAAAGAGAAAACTTAAGAGGCTTTGGTGCCCAGGAAGCTCAAAGCCAGCACTAAAGGGGCAAGGGTAGGGGATAATTTGTTTTTAAAGAGTACCTAATTACCTAATTAGTGCTTGTTTGTTTACATATTGCCTTGAATACAAGCTGCTTTCATGTTTGTTTTATGTTTGTCCAAGTCTGGCTATTTTAATGAAGAGCTGTGATTTTGAGAAAAGTGGCAACGGAAAAGTAGGGGGTGAACAGGGTGGAGGTGGGCAGAGCCAGCACTTTCCCTAGGCGGTGGGTGCCCTTCCGGCCTGGCTGGGGGACAAGACACCAAAAGGGCATGGACAGCTGTTGGACAGGGAAGTAAGCCCTGCTCAGGCAGAAACTGCAGAATCAGATGTTTGGAGGAGATGTGCATGAAATAGCAATTTTTATCCTTTTACCTAGATAACAAGCTTCAAAAGGCAAGGGCCAGGTCTTCCTTACTCTTTTAAAAGAAGAGGTATAAAGGAAGGAAATTAAGAGAAAGAAGAAAAAATGAAAGAATGAAGAAATCTTTTCTTTAGGGACTAGCATGTAGAATCTACACAAGCTACCTACCCAGATACCCAATAGTTACTTTGGGACTACGCATGCAGCAGTCTTTCCAGGCTGATCCACAAGATGGACTCTCTTGGTGGTGTAACATCTTTTAAAATAATGTATTATTTTTCTAATTATTAATAAGGTATAATGCATATTATTACTAACCCAAGGGTTGTTAAGAATTTAAGGTCTTCTTATAAAAGATAAAATAATTGAAAACAAATGCAAAAGATGAATTTAAGTTAGATTGACTCTCATCACCCACACTATTCTAGAATACTAGAACTAGTATTCTGATGGATTTCCTTGTAGGCTTTTCTCCTTTTGAGGTATTTTTCAGCTTCTTTCCTAACACAATGGCCCTCTGCCAGCCACACTCCTTGCAATTTAGATGCAAGCATTATATACAGAGAAATTTATAGGTTTTACAATATTATAACATTATCTTCCCACTGTTTTTAAAAAACAATTCCTAAAAGACATTTGCTTTCATTCTCCCCTTCTATTGGACCTACACATTATTTCTACTTTTTATTTTTCTGAGTGACACAGTAGTAAACCATCTTGTACACATCCCGCCGACCAGATTTCTATTTTTGTTAGAAGAGCTTTCCGAGTCAGAATCTATATGCCATTTTCCTCATTTATTAAATGTAAGATTAAAAAAACACCTGCTTGGCAGAGTCATTAGCAAGATTAAATGGGAGAACGGTTACAGAATTGCTGAATATAGTCCTTGGTGTGTTGTAGGTGGTCAGTAGACATCTCATCTCATTACTTTTTAATCCTTTTAAAAGGCCTGATAGATAACACCAAATACACTTCTGCACAACTTTCAACCTACGACTCTCTCTAATGAATTTCACCGCATCTCCACGGAGTCCCCCTGCTTAAAACTCTTTCTCATTTAGTTATCCATCTTCAGAAAACTATTAATGGATAAAAGATTTGAAAGAACAGAATCAAATGTGAGGCCGTTGGGAGAGCCTGTATGAAAACAAGAATTTCATTACAGTACTGACTCACCAGCGTCGTGTCATTAACACAAAAATGTACCAGCTAAGGTCAGACTGGTCCTGGTCCTGATGGACTGGATGCCCTCCGTCTTCTTTGGCTCTCTCCTAGTCACACGTCTCTCACACCCCCTCTAATAACTTCCGAACAGCCCAGCTGAATGGTGTCATGGGGAAAAGGGTCACACCCCGGACCTCCAGACCCCCAACCAGGCTGCTTTTTGACCTTCCACATCCTGTGTCCCACAAAGCAGTTTTTTTTTTTTTTTAAAGATTTTTATTTATTTATTTGACAGAGAGAGATCACAAGTAGGCAGAGAGACAGGCAGAGAGAGAGGAAGGGAAGCAGGCTTCCTGCTGAGCAGAGAGCCCGATGCGGGACTCGATCCCAGGACCCCGAGATCATGACCTGAGCCGAAGGCAGCGGCTTAACCCACTGAGCCACCCAGGCACCCCAGCAGTTTCTGTCTTAATTTCAAACTCTATGTACTGTGAATTCCTTCAGCTGCCTCTTTTCCTCCTTTAGCCATATTTTCCTTAATAGTCATCTAATCCCTATCTTACTGTGATTGAAACTTCTGAGCTGCAAAACCAGCCGTATATATGGGGGGAAAAGGAGTAGTACCAGGGACCGTTTTTCAGCATTTAAAAAATTTCTCCAAACATTTCATCGTATTTCTATTACTGGACATTGTGTTTGAAATATTGTCAATGAGCAGTCAGCATACAGGTAATTTTTTTTTTTTTTTTAACAGATTCAGCAGTGTTAAGTCTCAGTCTTTCTGACCCTGACACCATTGGTGGGGAACAGTCACTTCTGAAGTCAGAAAAGAGAGATAATTTTAAACCCGCCCAAGACTCCTTCCATATTGCCAAGTATCTTTTAAAACACCAGGGACAGAAAACAAGAAGTCCTAAAGCTGTCAAGTACTGCTGGAAAGAACCAGGCAAGCTGAACAATTTAAGGTCCTCCTAGCAACAGCTACCATGTATGGAACACATGGTGTCGACATGCTTCACCTTATTTTACCTACAGGCAGGTTAAGAACCGCGCAGGGTCGTGCGGTGAGCAGACGGTGATGCAGGGATTCACACCTAGCATCTTGGCCCTCAGCCATCACAAAGCGGGTCTCTCCACTAATACCCGTATCTTCATGTACATACTTCCTTTTTTTTTTTTTTTTTTTTATTTGTCAGAGAGAGAGGGAGAGCGAGCGAGCACAGGCAGACAGAATGGCAGGCAGAGGCAGAGGGAGAAACAGGCTCCCTGCAGAGCAAGGAGCCCGATGTGGGACTTGATCCCAGGACTCCAGGATCATGACCTCAGCCGAAGGCAGCTGCTTAACCAACTGAGCCATCCAGGCGTCCCATGTACATACTTCTTATAAAGTCCTCACGTTCACTGGAGATGAGAACTCTTCTTGGAACAAAAAGAAAAGTGCCTTCCAATGCTGGCGTGGCACTGGTATAGTCTTGGTGACTGATATTCCCAGGTAATTATACTGGCAGCCCTAGGCTTAGGAAAAGTACAGATGAAGAGAAGACACACCACAGAAGTTTAGAGTTATAAAGAAAACAGCATCGCACATGCTGTTTGGAGGGGACCCCAACCCTTCTCAAAGGCTTGCATCTTCCACCCTCTCCAATTAGCTCAGGCCGTCCCCTCCCACCTCTTGGTCTATACATTCAACAGACCAGCAGCCAACTCAGCGTCGGGTACAGAGTGAGCCCCGGCGGGATCGCAGCGAGAGCAGCTCGATCCTCAACCTTGAGGTGGTCGTCACGGTTGGACTTCAACCCAGCAAACGACAGGTTTACCTGATCCAAGTCATTTCGCAGAGCAATCTTGCTGGTGACTAGCTCGTGGGCAAGGTCGTCGTTCTCCTGTTCCAGCCTCATGCTGGCCTCCTGTAGTCTCCGGTTCTCCCTCTGCAGGAAAAGAGCAACAGCCAGAGGGAGGGGAGTTAGCGACGAGACACACTAGCAGAAACGAACGGGACTGGCGAGGGAAAACAGGCAACGACAACAGAGTGAACTTTGGAAGGTGTAAGAAGGAGGAGGCGCGAGTGGCACAGGAAGGCAGGATTGCTGTCCAGAAAACAACAGTGAGTTAAGCCAGCGGTGCAGGTGCGGCGGTCTACCTGGTGACGGTTACAACTGTCCCTGACAGGCTGCATGGTAAAGGCTGCATTATTTAGAAAGTGCCACAAAAGGCAGAATTTCCAACACCTCCCCAATCCTGTGACGTTTCATACAGACCCAGAACACAGACACTGGCCAGCCTCTGTTTGAAACATGCACAATAATCCGACCCTTAACCTCAAGGGAAACTGCACACGCAGGTGGTGTCAGATGCGGGGAAACCACTAGACGTTTCTGCACATTGTTTTCCCAGTATCACAGTTCACGTTAATTGAATATATTCAATTATGAGCGCTAAATAAAGAAACATGGGTTCCGGACTTTTGCTATCAACTGACATTTCATCCTTGGTGTAGAATACTGTGTAGAAATACTTCTCTGAACACCGGTGTTTGTACCGGTAAGAGCGAGAGTCCTTACGACAATGGCTCTAAATGTTTGTGGGAGTGCTTTGAAAAACTTCTCAACTTTAAAACTTCAAAAGACTCTTGGTAAAATAAATTACTAAGCTGTTTTTTTCCCTCTTGAGCTTCCAGGAAAAAATCTGAAACAAAGTCCTATGATGAAAGAGCCAAATCACATTCTCACGAAGGAAGGAGGAAGGTCTCCCCTGAACTAAACTTTATGTACTGTGGACACATGCCATCTATTTTCAGAAGGGCAAGTCACTGTCTTTCATTCCAAAGTATCAAAAGCACTTTTTTTTTTTTTTTGCTACTGTTAACAGTTATAGGAGATTCAAAGAGAGCTGACAGGAAAGACTTCAATGTGATGAGATCTTCCTGTTTTTCAGATTTATACTCCTAACAGTGTTTTCTGCAAGGGTAGCAGAAACTCAGAGCAGTGGTGCACGACCAGAAGACAAATCTATGCCCAGGAAGAGAGCATGTCATTGCGTCACAAGGGACGAAAGGACATTTACCTTCTACAGAACAACCTGGGATTGGTTATATGGAAAAAAGAAAGCCCCATTTCTTTTTTCTTTTTGTTTCTTAAAGAAGGGCTAAGAGACCAGTGGTAAGGGCAGAGCCTAAGGCTTTCATGGGGTGGAGAATCCCCCAATGGGGCCAGCAGAGAAGCTGAAGGATGAACCTGTGCTTTGACTAGAACCGCCCAACAGAGTTAATTTCTGTCTTCTCTTTTAGAAGACGAAGACTGGGACAGTTGGGGAATGCCCAAACATTTCTGAAAAAGAAATCTGCTGAAGAAGATAAAAACAGTCCCAAATCTATTAAATGCTTTTAAGTAAATTCATGATAGAATTCCATGCAGTGTTAAAATACAAGTGAAAAATATGTAATGACCAAAGAAATGCTTAAGCCACCTCATAAGAAAAAAAAAAAAGACAAGGAATTAGTCTGATTTTTGTAACAACATGAATAACATTAATTGTAGGTGCCGGATTAATTTTATTGTTGTCTTTGTGCTTTAAAAATGCTTCTAAGGGGCGCCTGGGTGGCTCAGTGGGTTAAGCCTCTGCCTTCAGCTCAGGTCATGATCTCAGGGTCCTGGGCTCGAGCCCCACATCAGGCTCTCTGCTCGGCGGGGAGCCTGCTTCCTCCTCTCTCTGCCTGCTTCTCTGCCTACTTGTGATCTCTGTCTGTCAAATAAATAAAATCTTAAAAAAAAAAAATTTTAAAAATGCTTCTAAGTTTTCAACAATGAATACAGAATACATGGGTTTAGAACGTTATCTAAAAAAATTAAAAACCACTCAGAATCAGAATGAGAATTTTTTTCAAGTTCACTCCTGTTAGAAGCTCATATTCTACCTGAAAGCAGACTGGATCTTCATTTTAACCAAAATACGATGTAACCCATCTAAAGTATGGCCTTGCCAGGAATCCTTTCCCAAGATATTCCTGAAAAGACCATGGACGTATTTGTAGGGGCACTTTGCACTCATCCAGTTCTGTCCCCTCCTTCTACAGAAGTCCTAACCTCCACAGAGGTCCTAACCTCCCACAGAAGTAGCATAAAAGTTGTCATGAAAATACATGCAGAAAAGCAGCCAGGGCCTTCATGGCCATCTTTCCATCTTTGCTGAAGCAATCCAAATTCTAGCAGGGGCACGAGACTTAGTCTTTTGCTCTGGTACATCTAAATATTACTCCTTTTTGTGGAAACAACTTGCCTACTTGTTGAAAACTCAGAATTACCAAAAAAAAAAAAAGGAGCGGCAATGCCCAGCACCATTTCGTCGGGACACAGCGCACCCAGGTGGCTGCTGAGCAGGGAAGCGATTGTTCTCACCTCCAGGAGTCCCTTCTGGAGAGCCCCTGGTGACAGGACTCCAGGCCCTACTCCTGAGTCAGGGTCTGAGTCCTCCTGACAACTGTACTGGCATGACTTCAAGATGCAGAGTCCCCTCAATGTTTGCTGACGTTACAGTCATTTCACCCAAGTGACAATGTTGCAGCTCAGGTTTTTCAGGTGACAGTGACACAGGCTTACAAGGGAGTTAAGATAACCCGCACGCAAAGTCACACATGGAAAAGTGCTTCGTTGCAAGTTTGTTATAGATGGCACCAGGCGGCTCCTTCTCTCCTGATCAGAGACCAACCCTCGGTGGGTGACATTACCTAAGGATGAGGGGGAGCTCAGCTTAGTGCTGATGGACACAAGCCGTCACCACGCCTGCTGAAACTGGAACCCTTCCCTAGGGACGCGCGGCCAAGGGGGGGAGGGGAGACAGGGGAAGATCTGGGAGAAACTGTGAGTGTCTAAGCGTCCCTAAAAAGCTAAATGGCCTCAGGGGCGCCCTTACCGGCTTGGCTTTAGCAAAAAGCTTCAGTTGGGTGTGTACGCAGCAAGCAGCACAGGGCGAGTGTGACTCCTGCTTTGCACTCACAGACATGTGGGCAAGCAAGCTGTGGGGCCGAAAATGCAGTATCGTCCTCCAAAGTCTGAACCTGGGGCAGGAGGCGTCCTCAGCAGTTCTCCCAGCCCCTGAGCCGGCCAGCGAGGCACCGCCACCCACCGGGGCGGGAGTTCCTGCCCATGAACCTGCCCACACTCGCCAAGGGTTCAAGTGAGGTATCTTACTGGGTGGTCTTTTCCAGCCCCTCCCAAGGAGCCCACACTGCTCCCCCGCCACTCCCTGGAACTGACTGATGCAAGAAAAAGCTTTATACTAGAACGGAGAAGAAGATTCCATGTGGATGGGCTTCGTTCATTCCCAAAGGTCAGCAAGGGCTGCCTGCCCGAGTGCGCCCGGGGGTCAGCCCCCGGCAGCCTGTCCATGCAGAGGCAGCTGCGTGCCACGGTGTGCACAGAAGCAGATGTGGCCAGCTGCTCCGAGCCTGTCAACACCACGGGCAGCCGGCTTCCCGCTCCTCTCCGGAGAGACAGCAGGAGACCCCGCTTCCATAACCCTGGAAACGCACACTGCCCTGTTCGGCCCATCCTCCATCCTCCAACAACTGACACCATCCCAGCAAAAAGCAGACGACAACTTGCCTCTTTAGTTCCCTGCCCCCCCTCCCCGGCAGAAGAGCTGCACGGCTGCCGTGAGAGTTTGGTTAGTAACTTTGGGGAGGAGGATACTGCATTTTGCAGACAGACAGACGCCGGTATCACAGACATACACAGATAAATAACTTACCTCCTCAAAAGTCATAGACCAACTACCGTTTTCAATCATAGGTACAAAAGACAATTGAAAAAAAAAAACAGAATATCCAATGAAATTGCACACCTACTAATACAGTTATGGAAATGGCAATAACAGAAGCAGACACTTGTTAACGCTGTCATTTACTCTAAGTTCTCTGTCTGCAAACATTCGCTGGAAGAAAGTACACTTGAGGCAGCCAGTGGGCAAGGCAAGTCTCAACCTAGCCAGACTAAGATTCAAACTCCTCCCCTGCACCCTGCCCTTCGCTGTCCCTGTGATGGCTGGAAAATGCTGTCTGCGGGACTATGGGCAACTTGGGTGTGAGTTGTTTACACTGTGTTATTTCGGCCGGGTGGAAGGAACTTCCTCGTATGACAAGGTCGGAAACGTTGCAAAATAGTTCATTTTCGGGCAACAGACTGACATTGCTGGGCAGGAAAATGCTTCCAGCTGTCCTGTGAGTCTGAGGGCTGGAATGTGGGTGAAGCAGCATAAAGGATGGTGAACGTCATTTATTCCGTGATGAGAGACCAGAGCAACGGGAACCGGCATTCAGAAGAAGAAAAACGAAGGCTTACAGGAAAAAATGATGGGAAATGAGGCAGCTTCGTAAACCCTAGCTCAGTATTTTGGGTGTATCATCTGCTACTATAATGAATTCTTGGAACGTGGTTTTAAAGACATTTAAGGGTCAGGAGAAAATGTTTTCCTAAAAGACCCAGTGCAATTTTATTAGCAAAAACACTCAACTCTCCCATGCTTTCGTTTGGGTAATTCTTTCAAGAGTTGATAATTAGCATCATCAGATTTTCGCAAACAGTTTTTTGGCAAATGCCTATAGATTAAATGTTTAAATGTCTACATTGTCTGCAAATGAAGATTTGAGAGAGAAAATCTGGATACTTGAAATCATTTTATGCTCTTCCTTTACCCAGTGTATCCAGTTTTATCTTTCTGGTAGAAATTTTTAAAAAATTGAAATGTCAAACTAAAAACAAAATCTTGTTGGTAATAAGTAACTGGCAGTTGGCAAACCAGACTACAGTTCTCCTAGCATTTAAAAAATAGTCTTTGGTTATTTCCTAGCACTGGGGTCAACAAGCTTTAGATGTAAATGGCCAGACACAAAGTATTTTAGGCTTTGCAGGCCATATGATCTTTGTTGAGATTA